AGAATAAGAGGGGAAATTTCACAATGTTCAAACAGATATGAAAAAGCTAATAATAAGTATATGAATGGACACGATCTCAAAATCCCAATAAGCCATCCATGTATTTTGACGTTGTGAACATGTGTATGGAGCAGCCATGAGTTATCCTCTGCCCACAGGTAACTTTGAGTGGATTGTTCATGTTAATACGAGTTGTCCTTCATCAACTAAATGTACAAATGTAAAGTGATGCTGAGTACTCACTTTATCAACCCCGCGCATTTATATAAAACATGAATACGCAACAATAACCGCAGAGATCAGTGTGCAACCGTCGTCAACTGAAACCAGCAACCGTCGTCAACTGAAACCAATAATTTGCAAGAATGTTCAAATGACGATTTGCTCAAGCTCTTCGTGACAACAATGTCAAAAAAATCGAACTTTTGCTGCACCAGTATATCTACACGAGTTCTAGTGTTGTCGTGGATTTATTGAAAATGACCATGCAAATGGAAAAATTGGATTTGTTTTGAAAATTGTTAAAGTGGATTCCGTTCGACCAATCAAAAGCACCAGGCCTTGTACTTCTTGCCATCGGAAGCCGCTGGAAGAGCAACGATGTGCGAAAACTTGTAAAAATACTCAATGCGGTACCAAGTGACTAGTGTTTATGCTTCTGTCGTGCTTGACAGACCAGACATTCTCAAACTGCTCATCGGAGAATTTAATTTGTCCTCGAAGCAGAAAAATCAAACCGGTGAAATACCATTACAACTTGCGATTCGGCTAAATCGTATCAAGTGTGCCACTTATCTGAAAACGACCAGTACCAAGAAAAGTACAAGTACAAAGAAAATGGACCTTGCTTAATCCTCACAGTTCAAGTAATTCCTGTTACAGTTATTATGTAGTGTGTACTATGTATATTCATTTGTCGAATGATCAGAAAACGAAATTTACTCTCAACAGACCAGTGCGAGTCACTACTCAAACATTTATGGCTGTCGTCGGCCGTCTATGGATGCGTTTCGATAAATTTCTTAATCAGGTTAGTTGGCATGGAGAATTTTGATAGAAGAAACATAGTGAACAAGTCGTGAATTTCGTCGCCGAACAAAATGTATTTGTAATTTGACGTGTTCCAAGTTCGCTTTAGCCTTAACAAGTGATGATCAAAACTTTACAATTCCGAATTAATAGCAAGAATGGGAATGTCCATTATTCATCGTTGTGGATCAATTAAGGCATCCCGACCAGACGAGAGTTCAATCATGCTCTCTACCAATAGGAGGTCGAAGCGGCGTAGCTCCGATAGCGGTCCATACATATCCAAAATGCTTTTGTAAATAATCGGAAAGGAATAACCGCTCACACTCGAATCGTTAACATCGATATAGGGAGACAGTAGAATTAAACCTTTTAGATTAAATTCAATGGGCACGCCAGTTATACTTGGTAGGCGATTTTGCCATATGGTACTCTTTATAGCGAGCCAACTTTGGAGAACGTGAAACGCTCCCGCTGAATCTCCCATAAAATATACAGACTTGCACGGTGGCTGTTGCTGGAATACGATACGTCCACCGATAATCAGAAATTGTTCGATAGGTGTGGAAAATTTGTAACGGTGCGCTGAACCATACCGTATCGAATATATTCGACATTTGGTATGATTGGCGAGACGTGATAGAAAATAACAACTTCCACTGCCAGCCACAAATGCACCCCCGTGCATATACAATACTAAGCAGATTTTGTATTGTTCGGTTCGTACAAATAATAGTTCTTATGTTTATAAAGGAAACATTCCGAATTCGTATCGAATTGCGATTGTCGTATGCTCCTAAAATAAGTAATCGTTTTGATGGCTATATGAAAAAGGCTTTTAGTAGAAAGTTGGCCAATATCCAAGCCGTACTCATTATTAACAGAAACGTTCTCCTATTCATAATTAAGTAACTACTTATGGCAAATGCGCGGTATGGCCAATCTTTTAATGAAACTCCATTAATTCACACGCGTAAACAACCATCGGACGTGGTAAATAAGCGCAATAAACGATTCGCAGAAATGGCGAATACATTTCTGACGGCCATTGCCAAAAGTAGCGACTACGAAAATGTTGCCAACGCATTGTCGAACCAGTCGAGCGATCATGGCTTGTCTAAAGATCTGGTTAGACGGGTAATCGCCTTAATTAAAAAAAAAACGGGCACTAGACCTCCCAAAAATGTAATTGGCCAATTCAAAACTATAAGGGAGAATTTTCTGTCGTAATCGCAGTTCGACAAAATGGTCGAGTATGCTATAGTTAGTTTAGAACACAACACCGAGCCTGATTTTTCTTACTACGCGGCCATCTTTCTTTTGTGTGCCTTCACCGGAAAACGCTTAAACGAAATCTTGTCCATGACTAAATTTTAATTGGCAAAATTAAGCGATAAACAAAAAATTGCAATCTACATCAGCAAAACGAATCATATCGGGCAGGTAAAATGGAACGGACCGAACGATTTGTGTGTTGTCGCCCGTTTGATGGGTCAAGAAAACAACCCGCCCAAGTTTTTCAATCCCTACGAAAAGTTCAATAAACATTGGACAAACGTTTTCGAAACGACGTCACCGCACGGAATTAAATTTCACAGTTTGCGTTATAAAAATGTCGGCAAAATACTACTAAATCATGGTGAATTGGAGGAAGGTCGAAATACTTCTACAACGGGTAACTTTGAAAGACCCCGATCCCAATGACTTGGTTAAATTTAACACCATCCTGGATGAGCTTTGGACACATGCAACGCGTATGGAAAACGAGTCACACAAATTAGTGTATTCCTAGTGCTTTTCTTGCCGTTGGCAATGCTGCCGAAAAGGTTTTAACGCTAAATGCCATGACACCAATACCAGAACTCTTGCACGAAATTTCAGTATATCTGGAGAAAAAATGACATACCGAAACCCAAAAGTTCGGACCAATTTATAGAGTTTTTATTCCAGCTTGAACGGTTAAAAATCCAACAGCCCGATATTGCCGGTTATTTGATCGAACGTATAAGCAATATGTGAAAACAATTTGCCATGTCCTATGACGATTTTACTCGTTCGGCAAAAACTATCGCAGAACAACAAGTCAAAATTAACGAACTAACAAAGCAGCTTGAAACAATGCAACGACGAAAACAAACGTTTGAAGAAACAAACCGAAGGGTTAGCCGCTCTAATTAATACGATTCAACAAGAGCCAAGCCAATGATAGAGGAAACTAATAATAAGATGACTTTTATGATAGTTGCGTTCGCTTTACTATTGTTCATAGGACTTGGATTTTTATACCTGAATTTGTCACCGTCGATGTGTCTGTACTACGATCTAAAAACTAATGCCACATCGTATAAAAGTGACAATGTAAAAAGACTTTTTGTTAATGGAGATTTGCCCACGCTCAATACGTTCGATTTTAGTAACTCGTTCGATAGAAATTCGTTTCTTTACTATCTGGCCAAATATCCAAAGGCCACCAATACGTGTTACATAAACGAGTTGCTGAAAATGATAACGCTAACCGTGAATCCGACGACAATTTCCGATTTGACCAACATTGTATATTCCTACATTTTATCGACGCGAGTAAAAGGTGCGAAAGTTAACATTCAAATAGTTCGCGACTATTTTACTCAGCATTCGGTTCGACCGTTAGTAAATTTGAATGATTTAATTGAACTCTACCGTTGGTCGACATTAAAAATCGACGTCGGCCAACGTAACTATAATGCGACTCTAATCAACATAGTTGGAGAACAAGCGGTACCTCTCAAATTCGATTTATATGCTCGACTCATTTATCGAGTGCCGTGTAACGTAAGGCCTTTCCCGACGATACCCTCTTCGATTCAAATGTTGGAAAGCAACAAATTGGACCCCATTTCCATCTCACCCAGAAACGTTTCAGCAAAAACTCATTCGAACACAATCGCTTGGGACGGTTTGGAATTTCATACATGAGCGAAAAAGCTTCAGTTTCACGGAATCAAACACGAAAATAATTTAGAGTTTACCGCGCCGACTATCAAGTCTCGCGGTTCGCAATTGATCCATGTGCAGGAAGGTGAATATCTTTTGGCACGAATAAATAGCAGTTTGGTTTATATCGGAAAAGCACTCACATTTGCAACGGCTGGGATCATTCAATCGAATGTCGAAGATTCGGGTACAAACAGTAAAACGGTAGTGCTGAATTTAAATGTAGAAAATGGAATCACGGCTCGTAAGATCAATTACGCGATTGAACCGCAAATCTCGACGATAGCTGTCAGTGAGTGGATGTCGTACAAGATTAATACGTTACTAAACGAAGTTACGATACACAAAATCAATCCAACCGAAATTTCTATTAGTCCAGCAAATATTGGAGATTTTATAATCATCGTAATTGGTGAATCAATTCCCGGTCTCACTAAACATGCAAATGGTAGTTTTATTGTCGATGGAACAACACTAAATAAATCAACTTTACTACCGTCGTTATAAGGTTATTTGAATAATTTCGCGGCCATTCTTGACCTGCCGCAATTCAAAATCAATTGCACCATTGTCATCATTCTTTGTACATGATACATCGGAAAATGAGCAATCTTTGCCAAGACCCTTACCGAATATTAACTATATCGGGTCTTTGCAAACATTCGATTGCGCGTGAGCCGCATTTGAATGTTTATGCATGACAATGCTAAGGCTCTTGGGTATAAATATCGACGAGGTCCTAATTTTTTTCGTCCGTATATTTCCGAGTCAATTATCCTTAATTACCGAGTACAATGGGTGTAATATGCGGTATATTTAATATGTGTGGCATAGTATCGGGCATTAGAGCCGCATTACAAGTCCTGTTTCCTGCACGACGCATCGAAAAAATCAAGCTAAAAATCCTGAAAACGTGTAGATTGTCCCCGATCTTCAATCAGCCGCCGTTCGCTACCTCAACTGATTTAACCATATTTATTTGCTGTCAAACATTCATAATGGAAGTGGCTCGCACAATTTTTCCGCAACGGATTGCGTTTTGGTATTCAGCGTTGCAGTGTGCAAAAGGACATGAACATACACCCAAAGTACAAACCCTATTGAATACAAAGTACAAAAACAAATACGAATTCACTGAACGAGAATCCAAAAACGCAATCATAGCCTGGTTTATGACGCTGGACCTGACCAAAATAATTAATCAGTTGCCTGCACATCGAGACTTTGATTATTTGCGAGACATTTTCATGTTGTACTTGATGTGCCTTTCCTTGGACTATTTACAGATTTGCCGTATCAGCCAGGATGACGCACCGCAGTTCAAAGACGACGATCCAAAGGAGTTTTTCCAGTGGAACCACGGTATGAGCGTGTTATACAAGGCGGGTTTGACTCATAACAATTTGAGCAGACTCAATGGAAGGTGCATTTTCTGGTATAGGAGGAATATTCGTAGAATTTGTGGAAGTGATTTGAACGCGATACAAGCAGAAGTTTATTTGAGGCAGTTTGAAGACCTGTTTGCATCTTAATTTGTCCCTTCACTTTAGCGTTATGTACATGTAAATTGGTTCATTTGATAAAGAGTTATATATACGTACTGAAGTACGGATTTTGATTTCTCCCACAAATAATCGTACCCAATCTCATAGGATCGAATGGTATATAATAACCGTACATCTGCTAGAAATTCATGCAACTCCTAATGCATAGTATGATGAACTTTGGTAAGAGGGATTCAGTTTTAAAATTTGCGAGAGCCTCTCGAGATGCATACGCTCCGACTAGAGGCTCAGATCAAGCAGCCGGATTCGACTTGAAAAGTATTGAAGAAGTTCTTGTCCCGGCACGAAGTAAGGCGCTCATCAACACTGGCATAAAAATTGAATTGCCTTTTGGCTGCTATGGACGTATCGCTGTACGATCGGGACTTGCGTTGCACCATTCTATCGATATAGGGGCCGGAGTAATCGACCCGGATTATAGAGGAATCGTTCAAGTTTTGCTGTTTAACCATTCTGACAAAGTTTTTCGCGTCAAGAGAGGTGACCGTATTGCTCAGTTAATTTGCGAAAAAATTTACTTGCCAGAATTGGAAGAAGTGTCAGAGTTGCAATATAGCCAGCGCGGAGAAAACGGTGACAGCAGCGGGTAGCTTGGACCGTCTAACCACTGTCTCATGCACGGTTTAATCGGATATGGAGAATCCAAGTATCCCGCTCCGAAGCGATTGTAGAACCCACAATTATATTGACGATTCGGTATAGCTGAAAACCGACGCGATTCCTCGTAATGATAATCAATCACTGAAGAAGGAATATGTACATCGGGTTCGATGTATGCACTCATAACGTAAATATGTTTATTCGCGTTAAAATCCTTAATTGAGGCTGGTGGCGTACCGACTTTTATCTGAAATTGTCACATGGACCTCAAACGTTCGTTTGTGGCCCAAGAAAAGCGCCGTAAATCTTCCAAATCTGTCATGTATATCGGTATTATTTTATCGTAATATTTAGGATGTGAGTAAAACAAGTAGCCTTCTATGATTGAATTGGTTCGTTTCATAGCAAAGTTGCATTCGCCAAAATCGTCAGCGACGGGTAAATAACTAGGCCAAATATGCACGCGCAAGGTTTCGCCATTGGCATGACAACCCGCTGCCGGTTCGTTTCCTTCAAAGATAAATCTACACGGATCTGGCACATGGCGTAGATTAGGGTGAGCAAATTTATGCCTGAACGCAGGATCCGTTGAACTGACTGGAATTGTTGCTTGATTGGGCAAATAACTAATGTCCGTTTTAATTTCAAACACTTTAGGTAAACGGCAATGAGGTCCACGAATATTATCAAATGCAGATATGTACGGGTCGTCACACAAGCAATTACGTGACATGGGATCGATGTCGGAACGAGCAAATTTGCCATACTTTCCGCAACCAACTTCAACGTCACAATCACTGGTTAAATTGATTTGGGTAACGAGATTTGGATACGTACACTTGCATATCCATCCCATAGTTTCCGTTTCCGGATCAGTTTCGAACAAGACCCAGTTTCCTGTTACAGGGTTGCAGTTTCTTTTCCGTGTACTTTTTATGCAATAGCCTTTAGCAGCGTCACGGTTCGCTTTCAATGTAACGACGCTTTTATCTCTGGAGGAGAGGCTGACAGTCATATCTCGTTCGAACTGAATACAGTAAGCGTTTAATTGCTTACAAGATAAACAGGCCATTTGATTATTAACATCACATTCAATCATTTCCGTTACATCGCAGTCGATAAATTTTTCAACGGTAATTTCCGGCGGATAGTTGGAATAGAAATTCGTATTTTGGTAACGGGTAAGCGCTTCTTGTGGAAAATTCAGGTCAAGCGTTGACAGCCAGTATAAACAGAAAAATCCCAGTATTAATGAGCACGTTTTGAATATTGCCATTATTAAGAACCTCGACATGGTTGCCTCTATAACCTTATTAGAATTTATTCGTCGCAGCCAGCAGAAAGTATGGCTTCAAGTTACGCCAATTCTCTCAAGTTCCACCGTATTCATCTTGAGCCGGATGCTGGAGCATGAAAAAATGCGCGATACGACCCACTTCTTAATTCGGGATTATCAAAACGCGGCCGAGTTTCATTATTCGGCGATATTCATATTGTCGCTATCATGTCGTTGTTCGAGTAGCATTCGCTTGCTTGGTTCCGCATAGGTTTTGTGAATTTAAGTGTTTTTTTTTTGCAATTTAATTTTCGATTTTTGGCATGAGTTGTGCGTTCTAGTTGTGCAATCGATAGGTGATAAAAGTTACTACTCGCCTTTTCCACAAACTGAGTAATTTGTAGTTGTTTGTCAATTAATACTTTCCGTCAGTATAGTGGTTTGAGTGCGATAAAGTCGCAGCCTAAAAGATGGGTGGTTCAGGTCAACAACCTCGGTCAACCAAGAATTCTTTGTCTACTGGATTAGATGAGGATACTTTAGAGCAGCTTATCAACAAGGTATGCACTAACTTTATTCAGCAGTTAGATAAGAAGCTTGACAACCGAATTAAGAAGTTGGAAAACAAGTTAACCCAGGCCTGTGAGTCGTTTACTGCATTGAATGATAAGGTTAGTAGTAATACTAATACTATCCTTAAGATTGGGGAGCGGATAGATCACATTGAACAGGACAACAAACGTAATTCCCTAAGAATATGTGGTTTGCCCGAATCAGAAAATGAAGAACTGGAACAGCTTTTGCTTGCGTTTATCAACAATGATCTCAAAGTGTCCTGTGACGCTATCGATTTAGACTATTTTTTCCGAATTGGACCTGAAATGGATGATAAACCTCGAACTTTGCTCGTTAGGTTTGTCCGCAACTCCAAAAGGAATGAGGTCTTTGGTGCGAAGAAACTTCTAAAGGGCTCCACAAACAGTCTGTTTGAAGATTTAACTCCGGGGAGATACTCTTTGCTGCAGGAAACGAAAAAGAAATTTGGGAACAATAAAGCATGGTCCTCGGGCGGTAAGATTTTTCACTGGGATGATCGAAAAAACACAAAAATGTTAGTTACTTTAAAATATAATGACAATGTATTTAATTAATTTCTTTTTATCAAGATTTTGTCGCTACGAACCTACTATAAATATTTCTACTTTGCCTTTCAGAGTGTATGTGCTTTTTTTTTTTTTTTTGTTAATCCATCACATTTACCTATTTTTTGTGCATATGTGGGTATGAATTTATTGCTCAGTGTTGTAAACAATATTTTATCTGGGTTCTCTAAATAAATATCTATTTTCACTTTTTTACGTATTTATATGGTTTAATTTTGCATGGATTATGATTATTTTTTATCATTATCACAAGACACTTTTATGAATATTTTGCTACGACTAGTATATGCGGAATAGGAGCGAATTTGTTACAGCCTAATATAACCCTATGGCGCAAATTAATAGTCTTAATTTCTCTCATTTTAATGTGCGATCTCTGTGTTCTGATTTTGTCAGTTTTCAGGACGTTGTGGCTGCTGGGGAGCTTGATTTTGTTGGATTATCTGAAACGTGGTTAAATGACGGAATCTGCTCCTCAGCACTTCACATTCCTGGGTTTAGCTTGATAAGGAAAGATAGGTTGGGAAGGGGTGGTGGTCTTGCTTTCTATGTTGGCGAGAAGTTCAAGTACAAAGTATTGGATGTGCCTACTTCAATCAGTGCTCTTGAACAATTATGGATTAGTCTTAAAGTTAATGGCAAACTAATATGCTTGGGTACTTTATATAGACCTCCTCATGATAATTTCAATTCAATTTCAATTTTATTTATTAATCCATCTTTATAAAAAAGTACATAAAGTGTATGTTTTGGAACGTCAGTAGTTGTAATTGGGGGGTAGACCCTGCGCTGGCGCTGACCTACTTTCCGTGACCTACTTTCACCAGACGACCCCGCCCGCCCACCCGCCACTTTCCTACCATTCTTCCGCCACCAGTCGTCCACCGCGAATTTCCTACTGCCGCAGACCGCCCGCCCCCCAACTTTCCACCTTGCTACCATTCGCCAATTACGTTTCCTACCATTCGGCCACCACTACCTGTGACTTAAGCACCACTTTTTCCGAAGGGTTTATCTGTAGATTCATGCAAGCCCATCCCACTTTTTCATTCAGGAAGGAAATTTTCCTGCAGAGGATACCTATTTAATCTCTCGAACTGAGGTATATTCCAGTTATAATCTGCTTTTTTTTTTCGAAAGAACAGTGAAAAAAATGTCTAAACGAGTTATCTGTTTCACTTCAAAAAAATGTGCCATGTCAACATTAGACAAAACGATCGCTTCCATGTACGACGATGAAGAGTTAATATTCAATGAAGATCCGGTCAACAAATTAGCTCAAAGAGCTAATATTTTGGTGAGCGTAGACAAAAATAATGTTCGTGAGGATGATGAAGATTCGGAAGATGAAGCTATTTCTATGGATCAGGTGGAAGACCAAAGATGTGGGGGAACGGCAGAAGTAGTGATAAAAAAAATAAATGCAAGTGAGACATGCAATCCAAACTATCTCATCAAGCAAATATGTACCGTACAATCTTATGTTGTAATCGAATCAATGTATGGAGGTTTCTACAATATATGCTTCCTTTGCCATTATCATCATGGACTTGAAGCACCATTGGGAAAACATACATTCATAAACACACACTATCAAAAAGCGTTTTCCTGTTGTGATAAAATCGACTTATTTTGCTCATTATGTAAAACAAACCTTTTTGTTAATATGTCAATAGAAGTCTGCATTTATTGTAATAAGCCTCAAGTCCAGCCAATAGACAATCACCTGTTGAAGAAAGAGAACTTTGAAGAGTCGTGACAAATGTATTTTTTGTTTTAAAATTTTTTGTATTTTTTTATCCATTTAAAAAATTAAAAAGAGTAGAAAAAATTATATGTTGTTTTATTAGAATAGAAATAAAAAAAGCAATGATTTAAAAATAAACATAGGTCAGTAACACTTTCCAATTCGCATAAGAGACTGGTCA